GTGTCTTAGACTTAAAGTATCCAGGTTGAGGCTTCTATGAGTTCACCTGACTTAAAACATCTTCTGCTAAGGATTAAAGAGGAAGAGTATATACTGGAGCCAAAAAAAAAAAAATCACGATACAAGTTATTCAGGATTGAATAACTATTAGCACTCATAGTTGGCACTCCACAATGATTTGTTAAATAAGTAAATGAATGAGAGCATTTGATTCAGCTAATTCACACCATCTCGAGAGGTATGAAAATCAGTGTCACTATTCGACTTAAAAAAAATGCACTACTAGGACCAAAAGGCTGTTTCATAATCACATCTTCCAGGACTGAATAAAAATGATTCTGAAATTACCATGTTAAAATAATTATAAGAAATTAGGAATGCCTTTGAAAAATTGAGAGTGGCAATGAGCTGACAAAGTGTTATAAAGGCCTAATTATAACTCCACAGTTAACGGAGCCCTTAAGAAGAGTATTATTAAATTCAAGATGTTTAGCCCTCACGTACAGATTTTTTTGAGCAGACTGGATTATTTTAAGTTTAACTGATTTATAGTTTAATCATCTACAAGTCTTCCCCCACCCCCCAACCCATTTGATGATAGAGTTAACCTGATCAAAACCTGTTTGTTTTGCCACCAGATAATGAAATCGGAAGTTCAGAGTGAGGAAAGAGGCCAACTGCAAATACAGTTTGAAGAGGAAGATAAACAAGAAAACAAAATAGTCTTGGAATAAAGTGGCCTCCGTCCGACCAATAGGAGGGACATGAGAGAGAACGGGATAGAGAAGGTGTGTTTATGGAAAAAGCTTTTTTTTTTTTTTAGATTGAAGTATAGTCAGTTATAATGTGTCAGTTTCTGGTGTACAGCATGTTTCAGTCATACATATACATATATATTCATTTTCACATTCTTTTTCACTAAAGGTTACTACAAGATACTGAATATGGTTTCCTGCACTATACAGAAGAAATTTGTTTATCTATTTTTATATACAGTAGATATTTGCAAATCTCAAACTCCTAATTTATCCCTTTCCACTGCCGGTGACCATAAGATTGTTTACTATGTCTGTCAGTCTGTTTCTGTTTTGTAGATGAGGTCATTAGTACCTTTTTATTTTTTTTAGATACTACATATGAGTGATATCATACAGTATTTTTCTTTCTCTTTCTGGCTTACTTCACTTAGAATGACATTCTCCAGATCCATCCATGTTGTTGCAAATGACATTATTTTAGTCTTTTTATGGCTGAGTAGTATTCCATTGTATGAATATACAACAACTGCTTTATCCAGTCATCTGTCGATGGACATTTAGGTTGCTTCCATGTCTTGGCTATTTTATATTGTGCTGCTATGAACATTGGGGTGCATGTATCTTTTCATATTAGAGTTCCCTCTGGATATATGCCCAGGAGTGGGATTGCTGGGTCATATGGTAAGTCTATTTTTAGTTTTTTGTCAAATCTACATACGAAACAGCCTTCTTTTGAAGCAGATCAAGAAAAGGCTGCTTTGCCCAAGCCCTCTGCTCTCAAAGGTGGCTCCCTCCTGCTGCTGAGAGAGGAGACAGCTGTCTGGAGAAAATGCTCACTTAGCCGTGAATCAACTCAAGTGTCAGCTGCCAGGATGGAAAATGCTGAACCCAAAGGCAGGAAGCTGGGCAGCTGAGCTCATTCAGAGAGCTGAGGGGTTGGGGGAGCCTGAATCAGATGATCTCTGGGGTCTTTCCAGAGCCTCCATCCAAGAAAACATTCTTCTAAGAGACTAGACTGTCTGGGCTCCCTTTCATGACAAGACTGGAATTTGCTTTATCCATATGGAGGGAAATGGTTGGGGGGTGATTTTTCTTTCTCTTTTTTCTAAAGAAAAGCAGGCAACAAAACACCTGATGGGTGCATGATTTTAATCCCCAGGAATCCAAGTAGCTGTGTCTGTTTGTGCTCTGATGCCACCCCTCAGGGTAAGCTAGGCGGCTCTCAGAGCAGGCAAGGAGGAAGGGTGGGCAAGGGGCACTTCAGCTGACACCCTTACCACTGTATTTCTCCTGGTGGGTTAGTTTTCCAAAGGCTTATCCAACGAAAGCACCAACTTTGGTGTCCTGCTGACCTAGGAA